TTAATGGCCAGGTAAAAGAAAAGATGTTGATTTTGGAAGTTAAGATTTTCATCTGAAAATCAAAAGCGGATATTGAACATGGAAATCACCCTCGGGTTTGTCGGAATGTACTGCTACTTCCCTTCCGCCGTGTTCAATGGCTCTCTGGTCACAAACTTCACTGCTGGGACTCATCGAACAGACGACCAATGTTTTCAGCGGCGACTTGTATTTTGCCGATTTGGCAGGACAGGCTGCTATTGCGATTATCAACAACGATTCCACTATTTTACCAGGCGTAACAGTCAAAGTGAAGAGATTCACTGATTGTGGGCCGTGGTGGCCAACGATCGATGACAATTATTCAGGCGCGTCTGCTGGTTTTGCTTCTTCCATAATGAGCAACGACATCATCAACAAACACACGGACGATTCAAAGATGCTGCTTATTTGAAGGCAGCTTCGAATATGCCAGAAGCGGTGGAATGTGGACGCGACGTATTGCACGGTATGAGCGCCGAACGCTTGGACCTGGTGCTACTACCCTAATGGATGGTTCGAATTCGAAGTTCGAAAATTCATTTTTAAAGAAGAAAAGCGAGAGTAAACCAATTGTTTATTAATTGGACCAGAAAACAGCGTTTATTATTGATGAACAAGTATCTTTGTTTTCAGTTTTTTTCACTGCTTCAACGACGCGAGGTACTTTTCGTGAAGCTTGACTTGCGCCTCATACATCTTCACGAGCTTCTTGGCCCCACCCTTGCTGACTTCCTCACCGTCAATTTTCTTGATCGGAATGCCCTGATTTGCAAAAAACAAAAAGTCAATATACCTCACTCCTCACTCCCACATCCCAATGCCCCCCAAAAAATACCTTATCATCCCACGCCCCCCACACCTTCCTCCCCTCCTCATCCTTAAACATCTCCCCCGGCACAACCCTCCCCTTCGCCAACCTCTCCGCCTCCACCCTCGCCACCTCCGCCCGCTTCCTCTCCTTCTCCTCCGCAGCCTTCACCGCAGCAACCCGCTTCTCCTCCCTCTGCCCCAGGATCTCTTCCTTCGCCACGAATTTGACTAAAGCAGGTTTCCCCTCCTCGCGATCATCCAACGCCACATTCAACTCAACGAGTTCGTCGTCGCGTAGGGTGTCGCAGAGTTTCAACATGTCCGAGTCTTTGGTGCGTCGCGCGAGGTCACGCACTTTGTCTCGGAAGGACGCCATCAACCTCACATACGGACCCGCTACTTCCTCTACACTCGCACCCCCCACCGCACCAGCGGAAGCACCTTCCCCAAGATCAGGGTTCGCGTCAGCATACACCCCAAACACTCTCATCATGCGGGTAACGTACCGCCCAACCTTTACTAACACGTCCGTGTTGGGTGCACCCGCCGATTGCTTCAAATACACGTTCGTGGCGGAGATCAAGTCGCGGAGAACCGTCATGGCCGTAACCGTGTCAAAGTTGTCACACAACGCGGCATGCAACTCCCCCTGTTTCGCCTGAAACACTCTCATGAGTTCCTTTTCGAGAGACCGGTACCCATGCGCACCAGTCAACACGACAGGCTTCGCCTTCTCCTCCGCAACCACGGCCTTCACCGTCGCCAAAAACTTGTTCACAACTTGCTCGACATTCTTGGCTTCCGTGAGGGAAGCGGGTTTGTAATCAAGGACCGTGTCCCACGAATGAAGGAGGAATAAAATGCGGAGTTGAGCCGCCGTGTGGGTTTCGAGGGCCGTTGAGATTGTGTCGAAATTTTTGAGCGATTTGCTCATTTTTTGGCCAGAGGCGTGGAGGTGTCCCGCGTGGAGAAAGTAGTTGACCCATTGGGCGCAGTTGTAGTGAGCCTTTGTGTGTATGTAATGTTTAGATTCAGCGATCACAGAAAAGCGGGATGTATAGGGAAACTTCACCTCCGACTGCGCCAACTCGTTATCATGATGCGGAAACGCCAAATCAATCCCCCCTGAGTGAATATCCATCTTGTCCCCCAACACATCCCCCGCCATCGCGCTACACTCGATATGCCACCCGGGTCTCCCCATCCCCCACGGCGACGACCACGCAGGTTCGCCCGGCTTGGAAGACTTCCAGAGCGCGAAATCGGCAGGTGATTTTTTGGTGGTGGCGGTGGTCGAGGAGGAAAGGTCGCCTTCGCCTTCTTGCATGAGTTTGAGGTTCGAGGCGGACCAAGGTTCGAGTTTGGCGTAAAAGTGGGAGGGGTGGGAGTCAAAGTGGCGGGTGTTGAAGTAGATTGATCCGTCGGATTCGTAGCTGTTTTGGGTGGGGTTGGTGGGTGGGGGAGTTGATGGTGATTGAGTTTAGACAAACCGAAAACCCGAACGACAAAACAAACATAGACGATCAACAACTCACGCGTATCCGTTCTTGATAATCTGCTCCACAAACGTGACAATCTCGGGCACGTATTCACTCACGCGCGTAATCACGTCGGGACGACGAATGTTGAGGGCGTCCATGTCCTTGAAGTAATCGAGTTCCCAGTACCGCGCAAAGTCGCGAAAGATGGCGTGGTCCGTGACCGTGTGTTTGAGGCGCGCGTCGAGGTAGGGCGCGTAGACTTCGCGGGTTTCGTCGAGGAGGAGGTCGGAAGCTGGTTTGGAGGCCGTGGGGTTTGAGGCGAGGGTTTTGCGGGCAGCGGTGAGTGCGGAGTTGGCGCGGATCTGGTGAATAAGTGGGGGGTTCAGATATGGGACATTCGAAAAACGGGTCGATGGTCCAACAAGAATTGTGATTGGTCAATTCAAAGCAAAGGATCGGCAAAACAACTCACCGCAGCACGCATCCACATGGCGAACTTTGGCTCATCCTGGAAACTCGGTCCTTTTCCCTCCTCAAAAGTTTGCACAAGCGCGGCAAAGGATTCATCCGTGACAGCACCATTCGCCGAGGCAACAAGGTACTTGCCGAGTTTCGAAGCGACAAACTCAGCAAACGCAAGTTGAATGTCCGAGATGAGGTCCACAGAGAGAGAAGGGGTCGATTCCTTCTTTTGGTTGAAGAGGTGGGTGGAGCGGGCTGTGATGATGATCTTGAAGGAGTGGAATGAGTGTTTGATGGTGTCGTTGATTCATTGCGGGATTGGGAGAGATGAATTGGGAGAGATTCGGGGTTTGATTGAGGCATTGAACCCATGGACGACTTGATTCACACTGCACACACACCTTGTCGTCAATATCGGTAATGTTCATAACAAAGTTGACGTCGTAGTTGAAGTAATCCTCCATGATGCGACGGATAATGTCGAAGGTGATGTAGTTTCTGTACAGTGATCAGTATCCCACAAGTGTACTATGTGATACATACCTCGCATGTCCCAGATGCGACTTGTCGTAGACAGTTGGACCGCACGTGTACCAGTTGACGAGGTTTCCGATCGCAGGCACAAACTCAGTCTTTGAGTGTGTCATTGAGTTGTTCATTTTGAGGACGGGCGCATCGGCGGATTTGACAGGTTGGTGCCAGTGCGGCTGCGCGGTGGACAAGGAAGACATGGGGAGGGGTGTGAACAAGAAACGGTGCGGAAAAAGACGGAGCTTTTTGTGCAGAAGCATTCGCAGGAAATGACTTCACGGGATTCACTGCAACCACTCCACATTCTCATCTGTGCCACGGGTTCAGTGGCTTCCGTCAAGATTCCCCTGCTTGTATCGCAACTGCAAACGCTGTTTCCCTCTGCTTCCCTCAAAGTGGTCGCCACGAAACCCGCCTTGGCCTTCTTTGCCTCCTCAGACCTTCCCGTCCCGATCCTCACTGACAACGACGAGTGGACCACCTGGAACACGTCCAAACAAGTGCTCCACATTGATCTACGAAACTGGGCTTCTGTTGCCATCGTCGCTCCCCTCGATGCAAACACCCTCGCGAAACTCGCCAACGGACTCTGCGACAACCTGCTGACCTGTGTCCTCAGGGCATGGGACCCAGCAAAACCAGTCCTTGTGGCTCCCGCAATGAACACGCAAATGTGGAACCATCCGCTCACGAAACCGCACATTGACACTGTCACGAATCTGTTGGGATATACGGTCATTCCGCCCATTGAAAAGCTGTTGGCTTGTGGTGATTGCGGAATCGGCGCCATGGCGGAAGTGGCAGAGATCGTTTCGATTGTGCAAGGCGTGGTTGAAAAGTTGCCGAATGCCAATAAAACACAACAGAGTTCTTATTCATAATCGCATTGGGCGTCAACAAGGGGGGGAATCGATAGATGGGGGGGATGTCCAGCATCCTCAAAGCCAGAGCTCCAGTCCCTTGGCGAGGGGTCTCCGATCGCGGAAAACGCAGTCCGGTTCTGTTAGATGCTGATTCATTCTTCGCACCATGTTTAACTCGCAATGCCACTTGAATACAAGCAAGGCAAGTTGATATTGGTGCGTATCGGGAGATAAGGAAGGGTTGCAGTGAAGATGGAGAGAGGGGTGCGGGGAAGGGGAGGAGGCCAAGCGTATCCGGCAGCCAAACAATCTCACGCAGTCGTGACCGAGTATCCAGTGCAAGAAATCAGTGGTCAGTCAGGACATGCGCCAGGCTGGGAGTGGAGTACACGGAGGCTTCTCGCTTGGTGTCGTTTTCGCAATGCTTTCGCTTCCTACAAAAAAAAAGGGAAAACCGCGCTCCCCTCAACCTCGGGGCATTTCGCGGGACCGCACTTCCCTTTCTTTGTTGTTTGCACACCCTCATCTTCCCCATTTGAAACCAAAGCAGTGAAATCCGCACGCCTTCGCTGATCAAGTTGGGCAAAACCCAATAACTACGAATGCAATATGTACCTTCCTTGGAAAACACCCTCTCGGAGAGTGGCTGTTTGACACGCGCACACTCTTCTCTCGAAGCAAAAAAATAGAACCGACACCAATGAAAAATTAAAAAAAATTAAAACCAACGACGAGCAAAAAGCCGTGCCCTTGACAGACAACGATCATAATTACCTAAAAAATCATTAAACGACATCAGAAATATCCCAAATAAATTAGAAAAACGAGCAAAAGCCTCCTAGCGGGATTGAACCACTGACCTCACCCTTACGAGGGGCGCGCTCTGCCGCTGAGCTAAGGAGGCATTTATGATTTATAAAAACGTGCACCTATTACCAGAGTTAATGGTAAAGCCGAAGTACTTCGTACAACCAAATTGTGTCTTCGTTTGGGATGTGGCACGAAGTTTGATGTGCTCCTCGCGTCGGGACGGGGATGATGTTCAGGCACAAAGCAACTCACAAAACTCACACACAGGGCCGACGGCCTGACACCACACACACCCCCCGCGTTCCATCTCCCCAACACCTCCGAGTTCAATGTCCTCAACTTTTTGTCCAATTCATCCATCAAAATCAAGCGTCCGACAAACGTGATTTCGTTGTCTGACGAGAAATATTAGCAAACCGTGGACTTCTGGAATTATTGGAAGGAAGTCTGATGTGAAGCAGTCCCTTAGGGGTTCATAACATCCCATAGCAAAGATGCCTTGGCATTTTGATGGTTTATTTGCTTTTGATTAATCATCAAGGTGTGGAGGATTTATTGTTTGTTTGTACACCAACCTAATATAAGATTTCTGCTATAATCATCAAGTTTACGGATTAAGAGTCTTAGCTCTACGAGAGCCAACCGTCCAGTCCAACCAGTCCCAGTCAACCAAGAACTAGTTTTAACAACCCAAGACCAAGACCCAGTTAACCATGGCCCAACCCCGTCTACTCTTCGAGCCCCTTACGGATACGAACAAGGACAAGTACTTCATGCCATGGGTGAAGTGCATCAAGACCCAAGTCAACAAGTCTCCGTTGACAAGGTCATATGCCATCACGATCCCAATCCATGGCCTAGACGACCAAGGCAATCCAGCCATCGTTCGCCAACATCGCATCCGCCAGCCCTCGGACTTTATCGAATACGTGGTCCCCAAGCCTGAGGAGACAGACCCAGTTTTCAACCCCAACACATTTTCGATGAGGACGGATACCAAGACGCTTTCAACACCTGGAACACGGTCACAGCAGACTGTTGCACTCTGGTTCAAACTCATGCAGCCGTGAAGTTTCGTAACGCATTCGAGTCCACGGATGTTTCCCTCAACGCAGTGCAGAAATCGGTCGGATTCACGCAAAGACAAGCTCTGCTCAAGGCGAGACGTGACGTCAAGGGAGCTTCGTGTCGTGACGGGGAGTCGCTCCATAGCTGGTTAACCGATTCAACGACCTCAACAACGTTGCGCAGCAGCAAGGCCAGCCCAACAACGACGATTGGAGAAACGAGTGCGCCGGGATCTTCACGGAGAACATCGCCGACAAGGAGATGTGTCTCAAGCTGCGTCTACTGCTCGGCGAGGGCGACGAGGATTTCGATCGATACACCGTGAAGCTCAACGAATTTTTCATCCGCGAAAATACCGCCGACGAACGCGCCCAGGAGGCGAGAAGACCAGCCGCCGCAGCTCACCAAGCCCTCGACTTGCCTGCCGCAGCGTCTGCGGGGGAAGTGGCCCACATTGTCCGCGCACTTGACGTTCTTGTCGACAGACTCCAAGCCTTTGGGGCGTTTCCAGCGGGCCGCGGTGGCAATGCAGACCATCCACCAAGACGTGACCAGGTGCCAGCCCAGATCTTTGTCGGCAATCTTGCCGCGGGCACGACCAAGGAGCAACTGGTGGCACATTTGAGAACTGCAGGACGCATTTCTGACGAGTCGTTTGTCACCCAGTCCAAGAAGACAAGAAAGTTGTTCGCCATGGTCATGCTGGAGCCAGGGTGGACCGCGAGAGACGTGGAGAGAGTCGTGGTGGAGAAGAACAACTCGGTGTTGAACGGTTCCCAAATAAAGGTGGCCAAGGCCGATCGTCAATTTTATTCCGCTTTACGGTGAACGTCCACTACCAGCGACAAGTTCGCGTATCTCGACTCCGGATGCAGCAAGTCGTTGACTCCGGAAGCCGATGCATTGACGGAAAAGTCGAAAGTCAACAAGGTCCATTTCGAAACCGCGTCGAACAACAACATTGAGAGCAGCGGTGTCCAAGGCACGATCAAGACGGAAGCTGTCGAGGTCAAGGAAGTACAGCACGTGCCAGGTGCTCCCGCCACGTTGATTGCCATCAACGACATTCTGGACCAAGGTTTGGATGTGTGGTTCGACAGTGTTGACAAGGAGTTGCGGATTGGGAAGCTTGACACGTTGACCAAGGACAAGCACGTGGTGCTGACAAGTGTGGTGGAGAAGGACGGCACGTGGCGCACGAGGATTGTGCCGGAGGAGGATGCATTGAGAGCGAAAGCATTACTTGGCGCTGGAACTCCACGCGAAAAGACCATTCGACTGTGGCATTCGCGATTCATGCACATTTCCCCGGAGTTGATTGAGAAGACGATGAATCATGTGCATGGGTTGAAGGTGCATGGGCCCACACGCGTGAAGGACTTCTTCTGCGAGCCGTGTGTCATTGGGAAGATGCACAGGAGTCCATACAACGAGAAGCACGAGCGTCAAGGAGGAATTCTGAGCCAAGTGTCCGCGGATCTCGGGTTTCCGGGGAGTGACGAGGACAAGGAGCCAATTGTGGGGAGGAATGGGATTATCGCGTATTTGGGAATCAACATCCATCGCACGCAGTTGAGGTTGGTGTATGGGGTGAAGTCAAAGGAGGAGGTCAAGAGGAAGATGATGTGGGTGAAGCGAATGTTGGAGAGGAGGACGGGGGAGAAGTTGGAAACGATTTACTCGGACCAAGGTGGCGAATTGAGTGAGAGGTCAGAGGAGGGGACTTCGTGGTTGGAGCAGGCATGTGAGGAGGCGGGTATTCAGCTGGAGACGACGTGCACGGAAGCGCACAACCAGCATGGTGAGATCGACGGGTGGTTTCGGACTGCGATGGACGCGGTTCGTGCGAATCTCGCCGAGACGGGCGCGCCGAGGGAGCTGTGGTTTGATACGCTGGAGTGCGAGGTGCAGTGTTGGAACCGGTACGTGCACAGGAACGGTGCAGCGACGCCATACGAGGAGACGTTCAAACGGAAACCAACCGTCAGCGATCTTCGCGTCCCCAACTGCATCGCATATGCGCGCACCCTCCATCCAGGAAAACTCCAACCACGAGCAGTAAAAGGACGTTTCATTGGATACGCATACGGGGACGGACAATCCATCACGAGGCGAGGGTACAAGATTTTGCTGCCGAGTGGCGAAGTCATCATCACCCGCGACGCGTTCTTCTGCGAGGACAAGTTCGACCTCGGGACACCACCGCCGGAAAAGGAGTTGATAGACGCGACTCAATTCGACACGTGCCACGATGAAGACGGGTGGGACGCCGACGAGATGCCGGTGTTGACACGGCTGGATAGCATGCGGGTGGAGGAATTGGAAGTGATGGTGGAGACGACTGCGGGAGATACGGATGGTTTCGAAACGCTTGTGGAGGATGATTCTGACCCCAAGGACC